AATATTATTTAACGATATTAAGATAATTTTTTTAATTTATTGTAGTGTTTAGTAGTGTGCTTTGATTTTTTTCCAATGTAGGTTTGACTACTACTTCTTGCAATTTATATTTTTCTTATTTTTCTATTAATAAAGTAATATTAACACTTATCATTATTTTATTGAAGGATATTAATATATAACATATTAACTCAACTATTGTTAAAGTCAAGTTAACAGTAATAAAAGATTATTAAATGTATAAAAATACAATCTATTTTCTTTAATCTTACATTTAAAATATTATGTTATTTAATATAATCATCTTTAAAATTTAATAGCAATCTGAATATGTAAGATTAGAAATGGTACGTAAATTCACAATATGTGTAAAGTTGTACAATATGCTTTAATGGATTGATGCATGAAAAATGAAATAGAAAGGAGAATGAAGCATTAGTAGGGGTGACGTGAGGGAGTTATGGACATGAACCGAAAGTAAGTAATAGGGTTCCAATTGTGGTTTAAAGCAAAACAAACGTAGCATAACGCCGCTTGGCATCAATTATACATATACATGGATCTATCTATAATTGGAATACATTAGCAATTACTTTTGTGCCAGCTCATTAATGTATTTTTCTGCTTCGTTTAAGCATTTTAAGTCATTCATGTATTTTTTCTGTTTTGTTGATAGATATTTGATAAATAGGTTTATGATGGCTTTTATCTTTTTTATTTTTAGAAAAAAAAAACAAAATAGATATAAATGTTTTAAAATTACATAATTTGTAGAGATATAATTGAGTCGTTCGCTTTAGATTCATGTCGGATTATTTTGAGTTTAGACTATGTTTAGCTTAGGCTCAATTCAGATCAGATTAAATCTGATTCGGATTTAGTTCATATCTATAGTGAAAATTAATTGATATATATTTTACAACATGCATATCATATGTGATATATTTCTTAAATTTATTTTATATAATAATTCATTACTAGCACAAATCAAATAATTTCAGCAATTAAGAGACTTATTAATATTTTTAAAGGTTTCGGATTCGAGCACCGTATATATAAAGGTATAAACATTCATTAACAAATGATTGAGAGTCTTTAAACAATATATTAATAAAAATTCATTAGTAGTACAATAAACCTAACTGTCATACGAACCCATATAATAGGTATACATTTTACTCATTATTCAAATCAACGATTGAAACACATGAAACATTAATCAGGATTCATGAAGCTGATTAAAATGTAAAAAGTACAGAAAACAAATGAAAATGAAAAGGATAATATCATTTCAAAGTTAATATATAAAATTAAATTTTAAATATTTAATATGTATTTATATAATATGTTGTTAAAATAAAAACGAGAAGAACAATTATTATTTATAAAATTAAAAAATAAATAAATTTACATAATATTATTTTTGAAAGAAAACGATGTTTGACATATGATTAGAAGATGAGGAGTCGTTTTTGGCCACTTATTATTATTATTTTATAAATTTTAAATCTAATCTTAATCCTAATCTAATTTTAAGGAGGAGGGAAGTAGGGATTTTAGGAAAAAGAAGAGTGTTTTTAGTGGGTCTAGCTAGAACCTATGACTTAAGTCCTAATGGAATATAAAGTAACAAAAACGAGTAACTTGACCAACCGACCAAATGTGTTTGCTCCACCTAATTTTTTTTTTTAAATAAATCACTAATTTTATTCAAAATATGAAATATCCTAAAGAACAATAAAGATTTACAATCATAATCGTAAATTAAGCACATAATTAGAATAATTTCCTATAATCATTGAAAAAAAACTTACGACTTAAGACCACATAAGGAGTTAAGGACTATAGAAAGAAAGATTAAAATCTAACAAAAAAAAACTCGAACAAATATATATACAAACAGATCTAATTGCATCAACAAACGAAATACAAAAGGGGATCAAGCTACTAAAAGACCACCGACAAACCACAAATCAGACTTGAACGACGTGAAAAGCTATCTAAGAACGCATAATGGGTATCCAAATCCAATCCGAGGGTCCAAAGCATGGAAGATCAATAATATAACAGATAAGTGTCATCTTGATTAGTTGTTACGATGTTTAATCAACTCTTACAAAAATATAAATGAAAACAACAACCAAACATCCGAAAAACGTGTCAAAAGGTAGAACAAACGTGCCATAAAACAGAGGAAAACATGTCATATAGGTAGACTTATTGAAAATAAAAAACAAGAAAAAATAAAAAGAATAATAAAGAATACCGACGGTCAACAATCAACATTAAAGTTGATGTCGCCACATATCAAAAAAAAAAAAGATGAACGGCCTACCAATGAAAAAAACTATTGATGGAATATTTTTTTGTTCCACTTAATTAAAATCAATTTGGGAAATTTTATTTATTTACACAAATAAGATGGTTGCATGCATGACCATCTATATCTTGTTGTTCTATCATCCATTTATTATGTAAGAGTTTGTTGGTTAGTTCCTTGTAACCGAAGAAAACCTTATCTTGCATCTCAAGATTCATTCTAATAGTATTTATTTTCAGCCACACCATCTAAATATGTTTTTCATTTAAGATACAAAAGCAATATGTCTAAATTAAAATAAAGATAATAAATTAAATTTATAATTTACCAACAATATACAAATTAATAAAAATAATTTAATAAATTTAACGGTTATCATTTAAATCATAATCGGAATTTTAAAATTAAGAAAAATAAAATAGATAGAAATAAATTAAAAAAACTAATTTAGCATATAAAAATTAGATTTATAATTTGAACATAATATAGGGACTAATAGAAAATTTAACCAAATAAATTATCAAAAATCTCTGCTAACAGACGCATACAGTTTCTAAACGCGTTCCACATCATGCATCCATAAATGTTCATTTAAGAAGATGAATTAAACTTTGAAAGATTTATAGAAACAAGAAGAATATTGAGTTCTAAGTCTCCAACAAATTATGGTCTATATATTCATATATTTAAACAAATTTATTAAGTACTGTTTATATTTCTTTGGGGGGAAAATAAAATAATTAATTGAGTTAGGAAATGAAAATAAATTACTTAAAAATTAGAAAATGGTAAAAAGGATAATTATATATTTTTGCCTCTAAAAAACTATCCACTTATCACAATTCTTTTAAGAAACACACATATATGTTCATTTATCTATTATTTTCTCATCCACCCACGGACGTGTCACACAATCATGTATACATGTACGTATGTTGTATAAATTTGATTCATAATTTTAAACCACACCACCATTCCCACCTACAATCCCCTTATATATCATCTGCTTCATTGACTATCAATCTTCGTACCAAAGTCCTGAATATGATGGCAAGTCGTTGGTTCAACAGCTTCATCGTCCTGTTAGTCCTCACGCTGACGACGAACATCAAGCGGTCGGATGCTCGTGGCAATGGCTTCGTTCGAACGACAGGAACGAAGTTCGCCGTGAACGGAAAGCCATTTTACTTAAATGGCTTCAATGCTTACTGGTTGATGGTGTTCGCATCGGACACTTCTACGAGAAGTAAGGTTACTGATGTGTTCCGAGAAGCCTCAAAGTACGGCATGAACGTAGCTAGAACTTGGGCGTTTAACGAAGGTGATTACAAGCCTCTGCAGATCTCTCCTGGTTCGTACAATGAAGACGTGTTCAAGGTAAAACAGAGTAATTTTTTTTTCGATTTTATAGCCGTTTTATACGTTAGAAAAAAAAGGTACTTATTTGACTGTTTATTATATTTCAGGGACTGGATTTTGTTGTAGCAGAAGCTAACAAGCATGGAATTCACTTGATTATGAGCATGGTGAATAACTTCAAAGATTACGGAGGAAAAGGTAAATACGTTGAATGGGGAAAGCAACGAGGAAGAAACCTGAGAAATGAAGATGATTTTTACACGGACGCTATTGTCAGAGAATACTACAAGAATCATGTTAAGGTATACAGCTTTTGAGTTTCTGGAACGCACTTGAATTAATTTCATGAAACCCCTTTTTTTTCCTCCCTTTTAATAAATGTTTTGCAACCAACCTGAGGAGATTTTCTTCGGGTTTGGTCTTCAACTTCATGAAAACTTGACCAGTTTTAATAAATGTATTTAGCCAGTAGTCTTGATTTGCAGGCGGTGCTGACGAGAGTCAACACTATTACCGGAGTGGCATATAAAGATGATCCCACCATTTTTGCTTGGGAACTTATGAACGAACCTCGTTGCCCCACTGACCCATCTGGAGCTCATCTTCAGGTTCGATTTTCAAGCTAATTGCAGAAGCGTACAAATTTGGTCGCAGGTCTTGTGATTATCATGTGAACACTAGCTAGAAAGTACTACCGAGTAATAAAACAGTAAACACGAATGAGACATTAATCTAACAAAGAACCAATCTTTAAAGTCGGTTGAACTTGATTTCAGTTCATTCCAGCTAAAAAGACAAAACCCATTTCCCATTGGTGTATCAGAAGCTCACCGTCACGGATAAAAAAGTAAACTAGTCACAGACAATTTTGCTGCTTTTGTTTCTTCTTTCTGTCTCGTTTGGAATAAGTTGTTGAAGTTTCCTCTATTAGTGTTTGTAGTTGGATACCAGTTCACCGAATTGTACTAATAATTTTGCTTAATGTAATTTACAGAGCTGGATAAAAGAAATGGCTGCACATGTGAAGGCCATTGACAATCATCATCTACTGGAAATAGGACTCGAAGGATTTTACGGGGAATCGATTCCCGAGAAGAAACAATACAATCCGAATAGTTACCCAATCGGGACTGACTTCATTTTGAATAACCAGATTCTCGACGTCGATTTTGCCACTATCCATATCTACCCTGAGGAATGGTTACCGTCGACAAATATGAGCGAAGAGGTGCAGCTTGGTTTTGTGGACAAGTGGATTGAAGCACATGCTGTGGACTGCAATTCTGTGGTGAAGAAACCAGTTGTCATCGGAGAGTTTGGAAAGTCTTTTAAGCAGCCAGGGTACAGCTTGGAGAAGAGAAACAGCTATTTCCAGAGGATTTACAACGCCATCTACGGCAGTGCCAGGGGCGGGGGATCGTGTGCCGGTGGGCTGTTTTGGCAACTGTTGAGCCTTGAATGGATAACATGGGAGATGGTTACCAAGTTGTTTTGGAACAGAGTCCTTCCACTGCTTCGATCATTGCTCAACAGTCTCGGTTGCTGTCGTCTCTCACTTGATGATCAGATCACAATTACTTAGAACAATCGAAGATATTATTCATATCCGACAGGCGAGTTCTTGGGATGAGAATCATTGTTTGGAGATTGTACTAAGAGAATCATCGTTTATAGTACACTTTAATTTCTATCAGGCTTTGCCAGCTTCGTCGTTCCTACATTACTTGGCTTATCTTACAAACTGCTGCTGCTCGCATTACCATATTCGCACCACTTGAATTCATGAATTAAAAAAAAAATTAACGGTACACAATGTTATTAAACTTTTTGAAAGAAAAAATACCCATAAATTTTGTTTTACACCCAATATGATCCTTAAATTGAAAAAAAAAATCAATTTGATTCTTTGACTAATAGAGAGCGATGTTGACTGTTATAATCCTAATCTAGCAATTAATAATATTGACCTAACGATCCATAATGTATATAAAAGTTCACGATAGATAATGCCATGAGAAAGAAGTTTAATTGAATCTTTTCAAAAAAACTTAAAAAAAAATCAACTCGTCCTATCCAATTGTCATCTCTAAAAATAAAATAGTCATGGTCAAACATACAAATGAAATATTTCATAATTTAGAGGCATGTAAATGGTATGGCATGGTAGATTACTTGGGCAGTTAAGCTGCTTCCTGAACCAGGGTATTATTTTATTTTCTTTGAACTTAGATAATGAGGTTATCAGGTCCATGATATGATTATCAAAGAACACATGCTCACAAGAAAGTAGCCATCAAGATAAAGCAAAATTCTCATGCATTTCTGTCTCAACGAGGGCACAAATCAAGAAAACCCAAGATAAAAGAACAATAAAAGGGTAAAAGAATGAATAGTACACATCATATGTGGATTAGGAAATTCAGGGGATTACTTTTATATAGCCATATAGGGTAGCAGCAAGAAACATGAGGATTATTCAGCAACATGGATAAGCAAAGCAGTGAGCAGCCGGGATAGGCAAAGCTTGTTTTAAGATTGAGGCTTCTCCCATTTCAGAGGCTTCACAACTTCCCAGGTGAAGTCTGGATCGTCTCGTCCAAAATGTCCGTACGCAGCTGTTTTCAAGAACCGGTTGTTGCCACCCCTCTTGAGGTCCAGATTGATGGTGATCATGCCAGGCCTGAAGTCAAAGTTCTCCTTCACAATTTGGAGGATTTCCTTGTCTGGAATTTTTCCAGTTCCGTAGCTGTCAACAAAGACGGACAAGGGCTCAGGCACACCAATTGCGTAGGAAACTTGCACGATGCACCTACGGGCAAGGCCATTTGCTACAATGCTCTTGGCAGCCTGCCTAACAATGTACGCACCACTCCTGTCCACCTTGGTCGGATCCTTTCCAGAAAAAGCACCACCACCATGGGCTCCCCAGCCACCATAAGTATCAATAATGATCTTGCGCCCAGTGAGACCTGCGTCACCATGAGGACCACCAATGACAAAGCGGCCGGATGGGTTAAGGTGGAAGATCGTATTCTCGTCTAGGTACTTCTCAGGGATGACAGGCTTGATAACATGCTCTTTGAGATCAGCAGCAATTTCATCATTTGTAACAGTCTCATCATGCTGAGTAGAGATGAGGACAGTGTGAACACGAACCGGAACCATGGCACCATTATCATTATAGTACTCGACAGTAACCTGGGTTTTACCATCGGGCCGTAGCCAAGCACAAGTCCCATTCTTCCTAACCTCAGTAAGACGAGCCCCAAGCTTAGTCGCAAGAACATGGCTAAGAGGCATAAGTTCAGGGGTCTCATCAGTGGCATAACCAAACATGTGGCCCTGGTCACCAGCTCCAACATCTTCGGGACTCTTTGTAAAGTGGCCATGGACACCCTGGGCAATATCAGGACTCTGCTGCTCAATATTGACAAGGACCTTGCACTTGTCAGCAGCGAGACCCACATCATCAGAAATGAATCCAATGGAGCGGCATGTATCGCGGACAATCTTCTCGTAGTCCACATTGGCCTTGGTGGTAATCTCCCCAAAGACCATGACCATGTTAGTCTTGGTGCATGTTTCACAGGCAACCTTGCTGTCAGGGTCCTGAGCAAGGCAGGCGTCAAGCACTGCATCAGAGACCTGGTCACAGAGCTTGTCAGGGTGACCCTCGTTTACGGACTCAGATGTGAATAGAAAGGTCTCCATCGTAAGCCTGCACACAAATAAACCACACACGCATCTAAATCAACGATGTAAAATCACAAATCATAAACATAATTCAAAGCATTCATAAATCATAATGATGTAAGATATTAGGAGGGAAGAAAGTTACAGATCCAATAGATATTACTTCAAATTTAACTAACATTTTAAATAAAAAATAAATTCAATCGAAACTTTCACATGTCTTTAATAAACGACAGCCGACAATGATAACTTCATGCCAATTCAAATTTTTACGCCAAACAAAGTTACATCCATATATTTTCAGAAACTAATATGATAAACGCTCCAAAACAAACAGAAAACCGCACAGATCTGCAAGCATTTCAATCAAACTTATCCATAAAAGGAGAAAACAGACATTTTCCACTGCTACCACAAACAACAAAGCCAGATCTCCACACAAAAATTTAAAAGCAAAGCAAATAAGCAGAAAAAAAAAAGAAGAATAAAAGGGCAGAAGAAGCAACCTGGGAGCGAGAATTCCGCACGGATATGAGTCTTTGCCTGCGAGAGTAAGAGAGAGTATTGAGCAGACCCGACCTCTAAAGTGGGGAACTCAATGTACACAGAAATTCTAGCCTCGAGCGCGGATATTTATAGTGAAAATGGATATGTTAAGTATCAGTGACCGGCTACTGGTTGTAGTTTTGATTTTTTTTATTTGTTTTAGTTTTGTTTTGGTAAACTACACCATTAGTCACTAAAATTTAGATTGTGTGTTGCTTTTAGCATCAAATTTTAAAACGCTTCAATTAGGGCATTGAATTGTTAAATCGTTAATGATGTAATGATATAGTCATCTTTTTCGTTTTTCTTTTCTAATAAAAAACATTAACTCCTTCGATTGTTGTTGTATGCATTAATCACCTGACCCCATTTGTCATTCATGACTAGATTAATACTAAAACATTTGTATTTCTTTTCTCTTTCTTCTTTTAGACTGCTTTTTTATGAAACTCATTCACAATCAATGAAATATTCATCTAAATGTTTGTATTCTCAAAAGAATATTTCACACTATTCGAATTTTTGAACAAATTCCCTAAACTCCTTAAAGTCGAGGAAGCCTCCAAACCCCAAAAATAATAGTTTCATGTTTAATTTTGTTAGTTTTATAGAGATTTTGAGAAAAGCTAACATGATAAAATGATAGAGGACGATAAAACAAGTTCATTAGTGTCTAAAATGACCACAAAGACACGATAGAATGACGGTTTTTGTCAACAACAAAAAATGAGTGAAAAAACTTTAATCTTAATAAAAAAATGAAAAAGTGAAATAAAAATTAATATTTTTTAAACTTCCACATCATTATCAAACTACTACATCATCTTATTTGTTAATGATTTAATGGCCTAGTGTTCGAATTGAAAAGTAAAAAAAGTTTAATGTTAAAAGTATTTTAAAGTTCAATGCAAAAATTGATACATATCGTAAACTTTATTGATTAGTGGTGTAATTTACCCTTATATGTTATTGGCCTTTGATATGGTAAAATCAAGATCCGACGGCTAACATTAAAGTTCGGGGAAGACATAATTGTAGTCGTCGGGGTTAAAAGAGAGAAAGGCTTGCCTGATTTTTTATTGAAACAATATAATTGGTTGATGGTTACGTATTTAAGGTTTATATAAAAAAGTTAATGGGTTTTACCGGGAAACATGGGTCACTCACCAATCTCGGCCGGTGATTAAGCTTTGATGGTTTTGCCTCAGCCGGTTGCCTCATTGGCATGAATGTGAATCCCAGATCCAGTAGCCCACAAAATGACAAGGCAACAACTAGGAAAAATCAGGAAATTTGAATCCCTATTCTCACACTCACCGACTAATTCTTTTAAGGTCTAATAATATTTTTGGTCCTCAAACTTTTTCAAATTATTTTTTTCGTTTTTTAGTTGGTGTATTTTTAATCTTTTTCTTCCAATTTTGATTTTTTATTTTTTCCAAATTAAATTAAATGAAGAAAATAATAATAGACATTTTAATCTTATATTATTTATTTTGAATTGTGAAGTTAGGGATGAATATAAGGTGAACAAACTTTGATTCAACTCGAAAAAATTGATTTTTTATCCGATTAGTAAAAATTCGACTCGAATTAACTTCGAGTTATAATTTCATAAACTGGAATCGATTTGAAAAATTTCAAGTTCAAATCGAGTAATAAAATACAACTCAAATAATTCGAAATTTTTAGTAATTGGTGGATTGATTTTTAAGTTTGAGTCGAGTCTCTCAACCCCGTATGATATATGCATATCACATATTAAAAAAATATGAACAAATATATATGTAATGTATATAGTTATAAAATACCATTCAAATTGGAATCAAATAATATCATAATATTATAAATATTTACAATTAAATTTAAATAAAAACTCGAAATCTCGAAAATTCAAGTCAAATTCGAGTTATAAAATAGGACTCGTCAACTCAAAATTTTCAACTCAACTCAATCGAATGCTAATAGAGGAAATGTACACCAACTCAAATAAAAATGAATAAATTAGTACATGCTAACTTGAGGGAAAAGTCAGAAATGTAGGTTGGGGTGTTATGTTACCCCAATCAAACTGACAATAATGGTCTATGTCGTGGGCTTTGAAAACGGGCTAATAGAGGAAAGAACAAATTTCCAAAAACAAATCGAAAAAACTAAATGCAGTGAGCGTGGATCGAACAAGCGACCTTCAGATCTTCAGTCTGACGCTTTCCCAACTGAGCTATCCCCGCAGGCTGGTCGGGAATTGAATATAAACATATATACTTTATATATATCAGATGATTGTGTTCTAGAAGTATAATGCGTCTCTGCCTCGATCACTTATATACTTTCATCTGTATTTGTTTCGTGTCGATATAAAAAAGATCTCCATCTTCAACAACACACTCGATTCGCCTGCGTTGTTGCAATGGGAAAGACTCCATCTTTCAAGGATGAATTCACTTTTGGTTTGCTTCCTGACAATACCCTCCTTTCTAATAACTTTCTTTTTTCTTTCTTTCCTTAATCTAATTTGTTATTTCTTCTAAATTACTTCGCAGACCAAAGGGTCGAAGAATCCCGCGATATCATCGCCAAATATCCAAATCGTGTGCCTGTAAGTTTTTCCATTCAGTATCTTTCGATGTCACTTTGGGTCAAACCCTGGTGTTTCCGTATCTCTGCCTTTGAATTTTATTTTTTTCTTTTATAAATATTATTTTTTTTTCATTTTTTAATCTATTGAATTTTGTTCTTTATTTGTTAATTAATGTTTATTATAGTTATCAAGACTTAATGCTGTTTATAGATTAGATTACCTGAATTCCTTCTGCCCCTCCATGGATTATGGGTTCTATTAAAACAGAACTTGCTGGTAATTGCTAGAGGCCGGTTCTCTGACCTTTTTCCCCTCATTTTCTGCAGGTGATTGTGGAAAGATACTCAAAATCAGATCTTCCTGAAATGGAAAAGAAAAAGTAAGTCTCAGCCTAATTGCTTGCTTTTATTGTAAAGAAACAAACTCTCCTTACGCAGTAAGACTGGTAATGAAGATATGATGACTGCACTTTTTCTAAAGAAAGAAAAGACCCTTCAAAATTATCTTATGGCATGTCAAATTCTATAACTGCTAAAATGATTCCAATGGAGCATTTCAACATTTCGAACTTCAATCTTGAATGGATATCAGAACTTAGATTTCTTGTTAAAAGCTACAAAGGCAGATTAAATTTTTTCTACAATTTTTCTTTTTTAGGTATCTGGTTCCTCGGGACATGTCCGTCGGACAATGCATTCATATATTAAGCTCGAGACTTCGACTGAGCCCTGGAAAATCACTCTGTGTTCGTGAAGGACACATTACCACTAACAGGTAAGTCATGATATAAGATTATGTTATGTTTCTTTCAAAATGATTCTATTATGTTTGAACATTTTCTGACCTCTCAGCTGCAACCTGTGATTGCAGCTACACTTATGGACTCTGTTTACGAGTCGTACAAAGAGGACAACGGGTTTCTGTATATGTGTTACAGCAGCGAGAAAACCTTTGGTTGTGGTACTAATCAGACCACTCAACCGTAAGCTTTGCGCATTAGTGTAAAATCCCTTGGTTCCCTTTTTTTCTCTGGGTGATGGATCTTGAATGTTGAAGCTCAGCCTGGTATTTTGGTGTTGCAGCATCTGTTAACCATCATTTGTTCTGTAAATGAGTTACTGTCATCAATGTCTATGAACTTGCAGGCAAATGCATAACCTTGGTCGTGAAGTTTCGGCAATTTATCTGTTTCTTGCAAATAAGTAAACTTTGGGAATCATGCATTGGTTTTGTATGTTTCCATTTTGACCTCGCAATTCTTTTTCTATCAAGAAACAAGAGGCAAGAACCTTGCATTGTTTTTGTTAACATCATTAGTTAATAATAAAGTCGAACAAAAATTAGAGAAGTTTAGATTTTTAAATTAAAAATAATAAAGAGACTCAATATTGTAAAATTAAAGTATAATGACTAAATTTAAATTTTTTATAAATAATATAGGCCACCTTGGCATATTTAAACCATCGAAGGAAAGGACTTCAAAATTACAATTTACTTTGCATTAGGGCTTTAGTTGGGTCGCATTGCATGATCAATGACACAATAAGTAATCACCAAAAGCCCAAAAGTGCAAAGGAGCATGGGTAATTACGTACTTTCAACTCCCTCAAAATACCCTATTCTATTCTTTTATATCAGAAACCTAGCCGCTTCCTTCTACCCTCATTTTTCTCTTCGCATCTTTACCCGCCACCACGATGCAGATCTTCGTCAAAACCCTGACGGGGAAGACCATAACCCTAGAGGTCGAGTCTTCTGACACCATCGACAATGTCAAATCCAAGATTCAGGACAAAGAAGGCATTCCACCTGACCAACAACGCCTCATCTTTGCCGGGAAGCAGCTCGAGGATGGCCGCACCTTAGCCGACTACAACATCCAGAAGGAATCTACTCTCCACCTCGTTCTCCGTCTCAGGGGTGGTGCAAAGAAGAGGAAGAAGAAGACCTATACCAAGCCTAAGAAGATCAAGCACAAGAAGAAGAAGGTCAAGCTCGCCGTGCTCCAGTTTTACAAGGTGGATGAGTCCGGGAAGGTTCAGAGGCTGAGGAAAGAGTGCCCCAATGCTGAGTGTGGAGCCGGGACTTTCATGGCTAACCATTTCGATAGGCACTATTGCGGTAAGTGTGGACTCACTTACGTCTACCAGAAGGCTGGTGGCGATTGAATAGGGCCGGGTCCTTCAAAAGATTTGAATCTATTGCTGTTTTAACAGAATGGACATTAGCGTTTTATATTTCAGTAATTGCTGAACTTTTAAAATTTTTGTTATGTTTTATCATGTTATACTATTTTTGGAGTTTTGACATTTGAATGATTATCAGTTCAGTTGTCTGAATCAAATTATGTGGTTTTCTACTTATTTTTGTTTGCTTTTATGAATCCTTTTCCTTATTTTTTATGTCTTTTCTCTGCTTGAAATTTGCTTTTTATGCACACACAATTCATTGGATTTAAATCCCTTTAAAATTACGGAAAAGACTGAACATTGGATTATCAATTATGGAGGATCGATTAATGGCTGTAGTCTTGCTTCGTGAAGGTGAGATCTCTGGAGTTATTGTTCTGTTGGTTTTATTTTATTGTTTTGGTCTAAATCATCCGTTTATAAACTCTGCTGTTATCCTCTACTTTCTACTATCTGTATTGAGTTATTAATACTTAACTCTGATTCATACCATTGTTGGCAAACGCAATGTTATGCTTGTTGCTGTATCTTGTAATTGCTTTGCTGGAGGTTGTGGTATAAATTGCAGATGGTGGTACCTATTATGATTTGTAAGGTATATTTCATGTGCATGTCTCTTGGAATATTTGATGTTTTTAGTTTGATATAGGAAAATAAAAGTGAAATTGATTGGTTTCCTTGATCCATATATGCTTCTTTGTTTTCTTTTAAGAACACCAGAATCAGTCTAACTGCTGCTCTTCTTTTATATTGACACAGAGAATTAAAATTTAGGTTATGTTTGGTATTTGAATGATGTCAAGTTGATAAAATTTCAAAAATATTCATATAATACTATTGTTTATTATAAAAAATAATATTATTATTTAAAAATATTATAATAATTTAGTTAATTCTATTTATGATAGAAAAATATTATTAAAATATTCGAGTATGTTCATAGTTGATGAATGTTAAACTATGAATCGACTCTCATAGTCTAATGACTAACAATTCATATAGTAATTCAATTAGTCTACATATTAATTTCAATCTTGATTGAAGTCGACTCTCACAATACGATTCCTGCCTATGGAGATGGGGCACTTGTCATATTTTTTCCATCAACTCGGCTTACACCTCCCTTGTTGAATCCTCCTGGAATAATGCTTCTAACTCATGGACCCGAGTTTGACATTTAAAAGTTACCCAGCGAATCCGTCTTTTCCTTTGAGCTTCCCATAACAAATTCATGTCTAATCATGAACGAGCTAGAAGGTCTTTCACTGACGATGCTTCTTGTCCCAAATGTGGAGTTTCAAGAAACCACCCTTCACATTTTGAGAGATTGTCCAATTGCGAAAAGCCTATGGTCTCTTCTTCTCTCGCTCGCTGCAATTGTAAGGTTTTGTTCACTTGATCTCAGTGAATGGCTATGCACCACCATTTCTAATAATTTCCCTCAACCGATCACTGGTGTCCCCTGGAATAGTATATTTGCAACCATTACCTGGCAGCTATGGAAGAATCGGAATGCTCTCGTCGTTAACAATGATCAAGAAGATGTTGCTGCCAACTTTGCCCGAAGCTCTCTGGGCAAAATTCGCTCTTGATTGTACGTCGCCTCCTCAAGCTCTCGCCTCTGATGCTAGTCTCCCACTCTCTTGGCGTAAACCACCCACTGCTTGGTTTTGTCTAAACACTGATGCTTCAGTCTCAACCTCCTCTGGCCTTGGGTTAATAGGTGGAGTAATCCGGGATTACACAGGCAATTGGATGACTGGTTTTCACAAATGCGTTGGGATCACAAATCCTCTGCAGGCAGAACTCTGGGGAGTGTTTACTGGCCTTCAAATTGCATGGAATTATGGAATTATGGGTTTTTAATAAAATATGAATCGACCTTATTTTGTGTGTTTTCAAAAATTGAAATCGAAATTGAATTTTATAAAAATTGCGATTTCGGTTTGGTTCGGTTTTGTGGTTTCGACTGTTTCCTATTTTTCAAATTAACATCCAAATACAGTAAAATTAAAGCTTAAATCGAGTGTAAATATGTAAATTTTAATTCAAAAAAATATTATTAGTTTTAAGATTTTATTTATTTAAATTTATCTTATAATAAATTTAAAATAAGTTTGCTTTGAATAATTATTTTATTTTATTTTTTTAATTTGATTTGAGTTGAAATAAATGATTTTCATATGAAAAAACGAATCGAATTGTATAATTATATTGTTAAACCAAATCGAAACCGAAAAATAAAATAAAAATTCAAACCGCATAAATTGATTCAAATTGGTTTTCTGGTTTTCTCAATTTCATTGCTCAACCCTAATCCAAATAAAAAATACATCAAAATTATTGGTTTGTTTACATCTATCTTTTTATTGTGTTTAGTATAAAAAATCATCTTACTTATTATAAATCGATAAATATTTAAGTTTTTTTCTACAAAAATAAATATTTTAGTTTAACATTGTTATGAATGTAGAGTTCAATATTTATAAACTTGCATATCATTATTAATGTATCAGTTCATGCACCGAAGGCACTGCTCAAACCGAGCAAATATTTATTTTATTTAAACGAATATGAGCTCTAATAAATAAATAAATAAACGAATATGAGCTCATAGCTCAAATCAAAGAACAAATTTTCATTGGTCACCATCAAATTATTTAGAAAGAAATTATAGTTCATTTTAACATAATAAAATATCAAATAAGATCTTACCATTAATATTAATTTATCATTCTTTTTCCTTTTGTGAATTAACGGTTGATTTTAGTCTCAGTAAGGAACCGTGGAGATAATGGCAGACAAGACTTGATGGATTTATGGAGTATAAGGAAAATGCACATGGGATGTGCTGGTCACAAGGTTTGACTAGCTAGTCAGAGAAACTTTTATTTATAGTTGTATAAAATATTGGCTTCTACTTACTGTGATAGCCATTAATTGGTAAGTGATGAAACAACTTGATTAACCACCGTGAATCCTCCATCAACCGCCAAGTTTTGGCCGCTGATATAAGCGGATTCATCAGAAGCAAGAAACAGCACGGTCTCTGCAATATGCCTAGCCTTCAACACTATGCCTTTCAAGTTGCCCATGGAACAACTATTGGCCTCCACTTCACTTGGTTCCCAATTGTACGCTCTACAAACGAGAGGCGTGGCCACTCCATACGGAGAAACGCAGTTGACTCGGATCCCATGAGCCCCGAGCTCGCTACACGTTCCTCGAACGAGCCCCACGATTGCATGCTTCGATGCGGTATAACCATGGGGACCTGTTCCTCCTAAACAAGACGCTATACTTGCCGTGCATATGATGGATCCGCGAGTTTTTTTAGCCACCATGGCTCGAGCTGCATGCTTGATCATGGCTGCCGTGCCTCGAACATTCGTGGCCATTATGTCGTCGAAGGTGTCGATGTCGAGTTCTAAGATTCCGGTTAACGGCCCTAGGATACCGGCGTTGCTGAACAAGATATCCAGCTTCCCATATTTCTCCACCGTGTAACTCACTGCTTCCTCAACCTGCTTCTCGTCTCGTACATCACAATTCCGGTAACTAACCTTGTCGAGGCCTATCGATTCAGCGACTCGATTCCCGAGATCATCCTGGACATCGGCGATAACAACGAAAGCTCCATGTTGTACAAATAACCTCGCCGTCTCCTCACCGATCCCGCTAGCTGCACCGGTGATAAGAGCTACTTTACCTTCCAACCTAAGAAGTACCATACAGTTAACTCTATAAAAAACCATAATCAGCAATGACAGATCTAATAGAGCTATAAAAAAACATAAACATACCTTGGCATAGACATTTGGGAAAGTTTCTTAGCAATGCCCTGGGATCTGCTGTTGTTTTTACCTCGAGATCTTTCCTATTTATAGTAGTGTTTACCAGGTGGTAAAGCTCAATGATTAGTGTCGTAATCGGTTTTCGTCCGGGCACGAATTTTTTACTTGGCGGGAAAAATGATGTTAATAAATGGTTTTTTTAAAATAATTTAGGAGTCGCCATCGGCTTTTTGGGTTAGGTAGGTCAAATACCTAAAAATTATCTTTTAAAAGAGTTTTAAGAAAACATCAGTTAAAAGATGAACTGATATGCGTTTATAACCAAAAATTCGTTTTTTTAATAATAAAAAAGAGATTCGTGGTCGGTTACGTTTAGGGAAGGATTAACACCCCTACAACGCCCAAAATTGGTACTTTTTAATTATAAATTGCCTCTAATAACAGAATTTAAGAATTCAAATATTTAATTTATAATTATGTTATCTCAAATTTATTACTATAATTTTTAAGAAAATCTATTAATTTATATATATTTATATGTAAAATATTTATTTATTTAGAAATATCAGAAAAGGACTTCTAGGTGCCTTAAGACAGTTCTTTTCTTCGATATTAAATATTAACAATATAATAATTTAAATAAAATTAAATTATAATTTTTTATAATATTTAATTTTAAAATACCAGAATAGGACATCCAGTTGTATTAAGACTGTCATTTTCTTTGATATTGAAAAATAAATAAATAAATATTAAAATATGATAAAAAAAATAATTTATGTAAGATCAAATTAAGATTTAAAATAAATTATTATTTATTATATATATATTTATATGACTATATAAAAATAATATTTAAATATATAAACAAGTAAAATTAAAACATAAATACAATAATAAAAATAAAATTAGAACTATATATTTAAAAGCAGTAAAACTTTATAATAAATGAAAATATTTAAAATTAGTGACTAAATTATAATCTAATAAACCTAATTCATGATTAATTATTTAAAATTACAGGGATTAAACATGCTATTCTCCTTATTTATTAATTTGGTGACTAAAATAAAATTATATAAAATTCATATATCAAATTAAAATAAATTGAAATATGCTGTTCGGGGTTTAAAATATCAATTATTAAAATTAAAGGACTAAATATGATATTTATCCTAAATATATTATTTTAATATAAAGGACTAAAATAAATAAAATTAAAATTAAAGAACCGAATTAAAAGGATTATAAATTGATTTAGTGACTAAAATGTAAGGATTACAAATTAGGATGGCTGCGGAAAGGGTTTAACTTTTAGTTAATTACAGACAGACCCCTCTCCAAAACGACGTCGTTTGGGGAGGGCTATTTAAACCCCTAACCGGCTGACCCGAAGGGCCACTCTCATTTCTCTCATTTTTTCCTCTCTCTAAACTGAGAGAGTTTAAACTCTCTCTCACTTCTCTTTAGCTTCCCTCATCGGAGGGAAGCTGGCTACCGGGCGGCAGCCGTCTGCCGCCGTAATCCCCACCGCCGGCCACCGTTTCCGGTGGTCGGAAAACACCAAAATTTCCTAAACCCTAGATCCAAGTACCCTAAACCCAATTTCACCCTTCTTTTATCTTAAAAAGTTATGGATTTTCCTAGATCTAAGGAAAATACCTTCGGTATTTTTGGTTCTCAGGAGCCGTTTGGGGTTCTCCGGTAAGGTAAACTCTTCATTCTCTCTTCTCGGTTTGATTGTTGGTTGTTGTGAGTTGGTCTCTATTTTTTTGTATCTTTGCTCTCTGTTTGGTTGCTCTGTGGCTGTTGGTTGCCTTGGTTCTTCCTCCTCCCTTTTTATTTTGCGGTGTGGTGGCTATTATAGCCACCACCGAGGCTTTCGTCGGACCGGTCCCTTAGGAGGCTTTCGGTGAGTCACCGAGCTTCCAATGGTGACTCACCTCTAGAGCAGCGACGTGTATGACCTCGGATGCTTCTGGAGCATTCTGGTGAGGTGGTGTCAAGGTAGCAAGGCGTCGGCAGCTGTTGGTTGGGTCACCTGGCATTGAAGGTGTCGGCTGGCTGACGAACGCGGCCATGTGGCCCTAGGGTATCATAACCCTAGGGTTTCTGCTGGGACCATCTGAACCGTTGGATCAATGCTAGATCCAACGATGGAGAAGCAAAGCGACGACAGCACTATGATAGAAAACCCTAGTTGGGTTTTAGGGTTTTTGATGGGTTTGCTCAGTTGGGCCAGAATTGGGCTCCTGTTTGGGTTATAATTTGGGCCTGTAATATATAAATAATAATAATAATAATAATAATAATAATAATAATAATAATAAAAATAATAATAATAAATATATAAAAAAAACCAAATGTAAAAAATTAGTGTCTTCAGCTGCCCCTCTTTGCTCATTCTTGTATTAACAAGAATAGGGCAAAGACGAAAAGACAATAAGTTTTTTTTCATTTAACTTCATTTGATTATGATGGTAATGTTGAACAAAATCTTCTTTGGGATTAGTTCTTCTCATTATGAACTTTTCCACTGGGGATGATAATTTGTCTCCTTTTGTGATGTAATCTAGAAATGTTAATGATGATCTATCTCTTTTTGTGATAGAATCATGCAAAAGATTGAACAAGTTCTTCTCATTATGAACTTCTCCTTCCTTCTTCAGATGAGTTCTTCTCATTATGAACTCTCTCTGGAAAAGTTGATCCATCGAGTGATGAATTCGAGCAAAAAGTTGAACAAATTCTTCTCATTATGAACTTCTTCTTCTTTCTTCAGATGAGTTCTTCTCATTATGAACTCGCCCTGGCAATGCTGATCATCAAATGATGAATTCAAGCGAAAAGTTGAACAAGTTCTTCTCATTATGAACTTCTTCTTCTTTCTTCAGATGAGTTCTTCTCATTATGAACTCGACCTGGCAATGCTGATCCATCGAATGATGAATTCAAGTGAAAAGTTGAACAAGTTCTTCTCATTATGAACTTCTTCTTCTTTCTTCAGATGAGTTCTTCTCATTATGAACTTGACCTGGTAATGCTGATCCATCAAATGATGAATTCAAGCAA